TCGGTGGTATTCTTTACAGGAGCAGACTGCCAGGACTTTATCCTACAGTGCTACTGGGTGGGTTTGAACCACCAACCTTTCAGTTAATAGACAAGCACAAACCATTTGTGCCACGCAGGACTTAATACCCTAATGCCCACCCCTGCAGTAATAAACTTTACAATTAAAGTGTCTGTGGATCTCTCCTTGAATGTACTTCCCTTCCACAAAAACATTTCCTAATACTTTCCTATGCCTGTGTCCCTAAACAATATCTATGGTGTTTTGAATTATTTTAAGGTTCATATTTCTTTATGAAATATGTTCATAATATAGATGTTTTTTGTAGCAATGCATCCTGATCATTCACCATTGTCAGTAAAGTCCATCCCCAATTGACCATTCATAGCCACACAATGTTCTGTGTGAGCGAGCTCCACTGATGAGAGTTAAAGCAGTTCAAGCTGGTGACTTCATGCCATCACATAACCTGGATATCAGAAGGCACCTGAGTTCCAGTCCAGGTCCCTCTATTTTACAAATAAGGAGTTTCTGGTCCAGAGACATGAAGTGCCTTGCCTAAGGCCACATCATTAGCTAATGATAGAAATAAGACCGGGACCCAGGCCTACCCATGGCGCCTTCCATCCCTGCATCTCTGGCTGTCAAAGTGCACCCTATTCAAGGGGCAGTCTCATCATTCCATTTGACACCAGGTGTTTTTATCAAATCAGTCCTGATGGGAAGATCTGGCCTGAGGGCTTCTGGGTTTCCACTGGCTGGGATTCTCCCACTAACTGGGCCACTCCCAAGTATGAGGATTTCAACAGTCTTGTAACTGAGACCAGGAGAGCTTGCTGCCTTTATTATGACCTTTTCCATGTTGGTTATTGTTTGTTTGTTTTTAGTGAAAACAAAGTTGTGCTCAAGCTAGTTAAGTCACAGAAACAAAAGCTGGCAATCTATGCCTACCCTGTCTCCCCTGATTGAACTTCCTTAGACACATGCAGATAGACGCCCAGAACCCTGCCCATCTCAGTGCATGTCTCGATATGGGTGTCCCATGTCTTCTCCCAGGCATCTCAGCTTTCAGCCACTTTTCTGAGGAAGTGCAACCTTACCTTCTACTTCCTTCTATCTAAGGTTACTACATGCCCCTTATGGTGGTTATCTTTGTGTGTCAACCTGGCTGGGCCTGGTTAGTGGCTGGGCAGCTGGTGGTAGTTATCCCCCATGATGAGACTGGCAATCAACTCCATGGTGGGATTTACCACAAGCAGCTGAGTAGCTGCCTTTGGGATGTGGTCTGCTTCCCGTATATAAGGAGAAGCCTCGGGAATGGTCTCTAGCTTATGGCACCTTGAACCCTGCCATGTAATCACGTCATTGTTCAGCAGCATGCCATGCTCTGCCGACCTGGGGACTTAAAATGGACTTGAATTAATGGCCTGCCATGTGATTTGGTAACATTGGGACTGTGCCTTTTTACTTGTCAACCTTGGGCTTGGCAGCTTCAGCAGCCAGTAGCTGTCTGAGTGAAGAAAAGCCTCTAGCTTCTGTGGGCTGGGAGCAGGAGGCAAAGCTGAAGCCCAAGGTTGAGGGGCTTTCACCCAGCCCCTAGAGCCTGGCACTTTGAACTCAGACTTAAAGCCTCCAAACTGTAAGAGAATAAACTCCTGTTGTTAAGACCATCTCATTTGTGGTATATTCTTGTCAGAGCAGCACTAGGTAACCAGAACACCCCTCTTCCCCAGTTCAAAACAGCTAGTAGGTTTATGTGATAACCAAAATCCCACTAAACCTTGATGAAAAATGCAGAGGAAGGGATGTAGGGTAGGGTAAAAGGAGAAGAATCTGGAGCTCTTTTCTAAAATTAGGCACCCAGGATTTCTGGAGGCCCCTTGCGCAATCTATTTCCGTATTGACACTGCCAAGGAGGGGTCACTATGAGTCAGATCCAACTGGATGGCAGTGAGTTTGGTTTGGTTTTCTGAACGTTGTAAGCTCCCTTCTTCTTTAACATCTGTAAGAATTTTATCCTAACAGATTATTGCCCCCATCACTCAGAACTGTGGCTAAAAGCGCCAACACATCATTACATCTCAAACAAGACTGCAGCTAGATGTTAGAGCCTTACCCACTCCACTTTGCTGCACCATGTTGTGATGGACAGCAGGGGGCGTGCTTCTCTTTAACCTGCTTCCTAGCAGAGACAGGGCTCCTCATCTACAAATCTAAGTTCTTGGCACAAAGCCTGGCGCATAATAGGAGTATCATAAACGTTTATTGATCAAAGAATAAAGGACTGATGAAATAAGGAGCCCATGAGCCAGTGTTGTGCTGTTTCCATTAGAAAGGCTCTTTTGCCAGGCATCAGGGGACAGAGGGATACAGATGAACCAGGAAAGAGCTACTGCAAGGAACCAGATTTCCCTGTGGATAGCAACATCTGGAGGTGGTGGCTGTCCTGAGATCCTCCTACCTGAGCACAGTTGTTACCTGTAGGAATGTGTCCTTTCACTGTAGGGGAGAGGTGCTGCGGGAGAATGCAGGAGAGCTGTCTTCCCTGCCTGGCCCGCAGTTAAGAAAGGAGAGCCACCCCCGCTCCCACCATGCCTCTAGTGGTAACAGCAGGGAGGGCACAGGAAGTCCTCAGCTGGTTCACTGGCAAGGGTATAAGTTTGAAATAAGGTGAAACTGGGCACAGTGAAGGGTCTCCATGGCACATAGCCCAAGAGCTATGGGTCCGTGCATAGGACAGGATTCTAACCCATCACTGAAGGACTTGGGGCTGCTCCTTGCCCACAGACTCTCAGATTCCTCTACTTGCTGTTCCCTGATACCTATAAATTCATCCATTCAGGGACAAAGCCTGTTACCCTACATTTAGAAACACAGCAACAAGTAAAACTATCCCTGGGAGAGGTAACAAACAGATCTAAGCTCATTCTTGCCTGGGGTCCGCTTTGGGGAGTGGGGGTGGGAGAATAGACGAAAAGGGCCCTTGGGAAGGGTGAAGTCAGTTGTGGGGGACACACAAGGGCATGGAGGGTAGACCAACTTTCCTTCTTCCCAGTGTGGGATTGGAGTCACAGTCCCCTGCAGCATTGGGGACAGAAGCCATGGAGGTGGGTGTGCCCCCTGACCTGCATCTCAGCCAGGCCTGACACTCCCACCAACTAGAGAGAAAACAAAAGCTTCATGCCAGCATCTCTCAGCGAAAGGAATAAAACGGCCCACTTATTTTTATCGCTCACAGATTTCCTGGGAAATGGGCTATTAGTTCCCCTAATGTAAAGATAATAGGCTTGTCCCCCTTAGCAAAATGGCACTGCCTCAGCACAAACATGCTCACAGAATGGTCAGGAGGCTGTCTCTGCCGAGGATGGGGGAGGGGAGAGGAGGAGGAGACCAGGACCAGGACCAGGATCCAGAGGGGAGCCAAGGAGTAGGCTTGGGCTGTCCCACCCCGACCTGCAGGTGCTGTCTGCAGCCACCCTGGTTGAGTCCATGGTGCCCTGTGGAGGTCATTCATGTGTTCAAAGCCCCTGATATTTTCTTTCTCTTGGCTGGCAGGGGATAGGGCTTTGGTAAATTGGAATGAGGGGATCACTCTCCCTAGAGTGGGGACATCCTCTACTAAGAAGTCTCACAGAGCCAGAGACATGGTGTCTGGGGTCTATCTCTGCCACCACCGCTGACCCTACCCCTAGGAGCCATCGCTCTCAATTGTGCAGCCTTCCCATTTAACCTTTACAAGCACCTGTGAGCTAAGTAGATACTAGAATTATGCCCACTTAACAGGTGGAAAACCGAGCATCACACAGGGGAAGTGAGTTATCCAGGATCACACAGAAACATAATGGCTGAGGGAGGGTTGGAATCTAGGGCATCAGGCTCTGCTAGCCAAGGACAGACTGCTCCCCAGGGAAGCAAGCTCTGCTATTACTTTCAAGACGTTCTCTCCTGCTCCCCTTCCCTCCATCCCCATCCCCACAATTACTGCACCTCAGGGACTTCAGGGATGAAGCACTGGCGCTGGCGAGGGGACTATGGCTCCTAGCAAGTTCCCCTGTCCTTCCCTCCCCATACACAGAGCGTGGGGGCCCCTCAGCCCTTGACAAAGGCTGCTTTCTTTACACCAAGAACAGAGAAAAGGACTTGGCTTTCCCGATGGTCTGCAGAGGGTCCAACCCCTTCATCCTGAGCCCGGAGCCCTGAGAGGTTATAGCTTCTGTTGGGCGTTTAGTCACACAAGCTATGATCTAGTTTTAAGTTACTATTTTACTTTTCACATTTGTGCCTTGTCCCTCCATCTAGGCTAAACGTTGAGAACAAGGATCCCAACTGATAACGTTTTTCTTTGCCAGGAAGTGTGGGACCAAGCTTCACAGGTAAGAGGGGCTCAGCGTCACTTATTGATTGACCAGACTTGGGGTGGTAGGGCATGGCGCTGTTCATACTGGCTGCAGGGAGTGCGTGACTGTATAACAACCTCCGGGTGTGGCACACAGTAGGGCTTTCCTTCCAGGCCAACCTCTGGAGTCCTGTCCTGTAGACTGTCAGAGCACAAGCAGGCAGAGAGCAGAGAGCCTCACCCAGAAGGCATGGAGAGTCCACCCAATAGTCCCCTTCTCTTGTCTGATGGGGGTCTGAGGTGGGAAAGAGGGTCTGTCTAGAGCCATGGAGACTCAGGAGTGGGTGTACCGACAGTTTGGGAGTGCTGGGTATTCTGGGGCTAGCCTTCCAGCCTAGGAGGAGATATAGCCTTTGATGGTCCCCTTGGGCCTGCCCATAGGGTGGCTAGAGCCCATTTTAAATGTGGAAATGGGGGTGAAATCATTCTGCATTTGAGAGGGGGCACCTCAGGTCCCCCAAAAGGGACAAGGTGTCCAAAACTCCTCTGAGAGTCCAAGAAAGGGGAAAGGCTGTGTCTACATTAGCAGGAACTAGTAGGGAACACATAAGGATGAAGCGGGAGATTTTGAGCTAGCAAAGGGTGGGGCGGGCCAGTTTACTGATCAGCCTTTTCCTCCTCCTTCTTCATGTTCATTGGGCTGCTCCGAGGCCAGGGCCCTGGATTCCGTCTCCCCAGCCTGCTCCACCCGTGGCTCTTCAGTCAGGAGATAGCATGCCAGCTGCTCCAGGGCCTCCAGGCTCACCCTCTGCAGACGCTGCGTGTGCTCCTGCCTCAGCAGCTGCAGCACCGCCTCGGCATCCTGCGGCCTGAAGTGTTTGGCCAGAATCTGGCCCAGCTGCTGCCACAAGGGCTGGGGGCAGAGGCTGGGCTGGGCCTGACAGGTCTTCTCCAGCGCTGCCTTCTCTGGCGGCCGAATGATGACATTGATGGAGGCATTGGGCCCAATGCAGTAGTCAGAGAGGCACTTGTCATCATCCATGAGCTGGCCGCGGAAGAGCAGCAGCACCTGCTCTTCAGGTATCTGTAGTCGCTCTGACACCAGCTTCTTCAGCATGGCCACACTCTCTTTCCCAGACACCTCCAGGCTGCATCTCCGGCCCAAGAGCAGCTTGACTGTGAGGAGCATTGGGCCAGGAATGGAATCAGGGGGGACCTATGCTCAGGGGCTGCCCTGAGGATTAAGGGCCCTGTAGGAGAGGTTGGTGTCTCCCTGTCAACAGAGGGTCCTTAGAGCCAAGGACCTGGCCCAAGTGAGCAGCCATTGGCCAATGCACAGTGATGCCACAATGCTGCAGGGGGCTCATTCCGGAATGGAACTTTAGGGAAGGCAGAGGAGCATTGTGGGAGCAGTGCATTCTTCTTCCATGGGAGAAGGGAGGGAGGGAGGAGAGGAAACAGTATAGTAGGAAGGAAAACGTGCCACTGAGAGAAAGGAGAAAGGGAGACTGAGTCTTCTCTGTCTTGGTATTCCTGCCTCCAGCATACGGAGCCTGGGACACAGAAGGTCTCAAATACATGCTTGTGGAATGAAGACAAAATGTAAACATGTTAGATCATGTAGGACGACACAGGGTCTAGGACTACAGGCTGTGGAAAGATATCAACCTGCCTGCAGCCCTCCCCCTCATCCCACTTACTCCTCTGGAGATATGATAATCCAAAATTACATAAAAAATAAATCAGAAAGTGATCCCTGTCTTTACCAAAGGATCTTCTACAACATTTCTTTCAAAAACCAACTCCCTTGGTGCATTTGAAATTAGGTAGACTTTGCAAATGTATCCAAAGTATGTGCAGGACACGTGGACTCTGTGATGGCAGGGAATGGAAGTTTGTCCTGGGCCATCTGGGAGCTCCCAGCCTCTGGAGGGGAGGATCTTTGGTGGACAAGCCATTGAACAGATTAGGGATTTACTTTGGGAAACACAAAGCAGAGCTGATCCAGGAAGGCTTCCTGGAGGGCTGAGGTTTGGGTCAGCTCTTCTGCAAAAGACAAAAGGGAGGTGAGATGAGGAAAGGGCAGCCTGCAATCCTTCTCCCAAGTTATGAGACTTCTGAGGAAAGGGGTAGAGCCAGAGTTCTGAGCACAGAGGAAGATGAGGAATGGCCACCTACCTCCAGCCTCTCCTCCTCAGAACTGTCTACCCAGCTGGATGCACCCCACTGGAAAATACTGGTGAAGATGCCTGGGGCCTGAACTGGTAGAAGTAAGTCAGAGCCACAGCTCAGGCTTTGGCTCTCCAAGGCCAGTGGCCACTTGCAGGTAGGTGCCTCTGTGCCAGGGACTTTGAAGACCATAGTTGCTGGGTCATGCTTTCCAAATCAGGCTACCTGGGCTGGAGAGCTGTTCCAGTGTTCTAGTGTGCCATGAGGACAGAGCTTCAGAATCAGGGGTGTCCTAGGAAGCTGAGAGTGACAGTCACCACCCCTACCCCTGGAGCTCTCATTGTCCTTGCCAAGGAAGACAGTGGGGGGCACCTTGCTGGACCCTGAAATCACACTGGGAGTCTGGAAATTTCATAATTTTTCCTATGTAATTGCTTGTCTTAGTTATGCAATTAGCATGGGAAAATGTAATTGTGTAATCTGAGCAGGCAATCAGACAATGATTGCCCATAATTACAGGGGAAGATTAGAGAGAATGAGTGGTTTTGTGACTTGGGGAAAAGGAACAAGTGTGTGCAGAGAGAACGCTGGACAGCAGTAGGCTTGGACTCCACTTGCAGACAACTGCAAAGACAATTAGTGTCATTTGGAAACAAACATAGTGCTGGGTGAGGGAGGTGGGGGTAGGGGTAAGGCACGGTGCTTTGGAGCAGGTCAAACTGTTTGAGCATCAGGCCATTGAAGTCTTAAACTCTTTAGAATGAAAGCCAAGTGTCCAGCTGCCAGCCAGGAGCCCTGCCCTTGAGCAGACCTGTTCTTTGAGTGTCATTTTCTCCTCTCAATCACCTCCCCTCTGTTCTCCCAATGTTGCTGTGAGGGTCAGGAGACGTAGGTTTTGTCCTCCAGGACCTACCACATTGTCTGACCCTAACAGATATTCAGTATGTATCTGCTTAAATTTATAAATCTAAAAAACAAACAAAAACATTGCCACTGAGTCAATTCTGACTCATGGCCACACTAGGTCAGAGTAGATTTAAACTGACACTTAATCATTTGCACCTGAAGGACTATGTAAATGTGAGCTCTTATGACCCCTCATACCCCAGGCCAGGGAAGATCCCACAGTACCTAGAAACATGCCCAAAGTGCAGTTCCCCACAGGCCCTGAGTGGTCCTCTCAGCCTCTGCAGGTAGGTAGTTGAAGCAGTTCTCCGCAGATGTGGCCTGCCAAGGGGAAGAAAGGAAACAAGAGACATTTGCTGACAGCTGAAGAGGCCCTGGGCTGTGGGGAGTTTATGACCATTCCCTGGGGCTGCATGAAAGACTCATCAAAAAGATAAGTTATGAACTCTGCTCATCTCACTCTCCGGGCAAGTTATCAAGTTATTACACTTTAATGATGTCAGGCTGGCCCTTCGAAGGAGGCTGGGGGAGAGGGACGGGGCGAAGCAGAAACAGAGACACTCAGAGAAGAGAGAGTAAAGAGGCACCGAGAGAAATGGAGACATGGGGACCAAGAAAGAGAGCAAGAGAGAGAGAGAGAGAGAGAGAGAGAGTGCAAGAGAAACAATGGGAGAGGGAAAGGGAAAGAGAGGATGGGAAAGCCAACTGCAAGAGGTGCTTAGAAAGGGGAGAATGTCAGAGGGTCCACAGGGGGTGGGAGGTGAGGAGAAAAGGTGCAGGGTAAGAAGCATTGGCCAGAGGACTTAGGAAGAAAGTATTAAAGGATACTTGTGCCGGGAAAAGGTCCTTGTGCCTAAGGCATTTGACTGCTAACCAGAAGGCTGGCGGTTCAAACCCACTCCTCAGAAAGAAGGTTGGGCAGTCTACTTCCATAGAGATAATGCCTCAGAAACCCAAGGAAGGGTCGCTATGACTCAGATCCGACTCGATGGAAGTGACTTTCGTTTTTTTTGGTTTACTAAACTAAAGGTTAGCTGGAAAGTTAATGCAAAATTTAATTAAATTATTAATTTATTAAAGCGTAGTAAATACCTCCGCAGAAGTCACCTCAGGGAACCTTCGCAGAGAAAGTAGAGTCCAGGAAGTTGCCAGCAGAGGGGTTGAGAGTTTGAGTTTTTTTTTTTTTTTTTTCAATTGTGATTTGGGTGAAAATTTACAGAGCAAATTCACTTTCCATACAGCAGTTCACATACACTTTGTCTCATGACATTGACTACAATTTACCACAACGCAACAGCTTCCCTCCCACTTCCTCTCAATAGTTACCTCTTCCCTGTGTCCATCCCTCCGTGCACTCCTGCCCCCTGAGCTGTCTCCCTGGCATAAACAGCCCTTCTTTCTCCCATGATTGTTCTCTCCAAGGAGTGTATCTACCTCAGGTAAATGTTCAACTCCTATGCCTGTCTATTGTTTGGCTGAAACCACAGGTGTAGTTTCAATTCCAGACCTGAAGGGCAGCTAGGGATCATAGTCTCAGTGGTTCCACCAGGCTCTATCAGACCAGCAAACCTGGTCCCACACTTATCCTTTTTTTTCCCAAATGATTTTGAATTTTGTTCCACATTGTTCTCCCTGTATATCCAGGATCTCTTATATAGATCCCCCTCTGAGTGGTTGACAGTGATAGCTGGGCACCATCTAGTTCTTCCGGTCTCATAGTCATACATGTTGCAGATCACATGGTATACCAGTCGCCAGGACTAATTGTTTCCATGAATCTTTCGTTTTCTTCATTCTTCTTTGATCTGGATGAGGAGAGACCCATTGTTGCATCTAGATGGCTGCTTGCAAGCTTTTAAGATCCCAGTCGCTGCTCATCAAAGTAAGAGGTGGAACAATGTTCTGTGTAGTATGTTATGCCAATTGAGCTTGACGTCCCCTGTGACTATGGTCCCGAGCCCACCGGTTCAACTACTCGGTCCCTCTGGGTAGTTGGCTGTGACCAATAAGTGACTACAACCTTGTCCCATGTCAGCTAGTGGTTGAGAGTCTTAAGTTGGGGTTCCTTGTGCACCCTGCCTCCTCCACCCCAGGCCAGCCCCACTGTCCAACACCCAACAGCATTTCCTGAGCACCCATGATGGGCTGCATTCTGCAAGGCCCTAGAGACAGAACCTGACTAACAATGGAAGGTGGAGACCAGCAAGTGCCCAGACACTGCCAGAGAGCCCATTCAGTCTGTGCAGCCTTGACTGGCTGTCACCATGGCCCTGGCCATTCTGAGAAGAGATCGCTCAGGGCTGCTCTGTTCCCAGCTAAGCTTCACTCAGGAGAGGACAGGCAATGATATAAGTGGTCCCTTCCCCAAGAATGCCCTCCTACAAGGCTTGACACTCAGTAGGTGCTCAATAGTAAATGTAGCCCCTCATCCATTGGCTGGCACTGGGTCTCTCAGAAGTTGAGCCAACATGGGTCGGCAGCTGCTGCAGTGAGGATCCCAAAGCCTTCCTTGTCTCTAGGCCTTGGGAGCTGAGGTTGAGCTGAGTGGGCCCAAGCCTGGGGTTAACAGGGCTGAGGGTTTCAGAAAAAGGTAGCAGACCTCATGGGGCCACAGAGAGACAGGTTGCAGTCCCAGCCCGGCCCTTGCAGATGATGGGTGGCCCAGCATCTCTCCAGTCCTGGGTCCTTGCACCAGACAACCACTAAGTCCTACCCTGTGCTATGGGGGGGGGGGGCGGGTAGCTTAGCAGCCCTGCCCAAGAGTGCCTTTGGGAAACCCTTGTGGGGCTGTGTGCTGCTGTGGCCGCTAGATGTCGCTGGAGATCCCTCCAGAAGGCTCTAGCCTAGGACACCAATCAAACTGGTCTGAGGTCTCCTCACCCTTGGGGCTGAGCACACAGGACTGGACCACCCCCATCCCAGGTCCAGAGTCTCCTCTGCACATGAGCTCCCCTCCACAGATCTCTCATCAACCTCCTGCCCTCATGGCTGTGCTCCAGCAGCCAGGCTCTGGTCATAGATGTCAGTGTCTGTCCAGAGCTGGGCATTGTGTGAGGTACTGAGGCAGGAACACAGAATAGTGAGACACGTCTTTGCCCTTCCCGACATGCCAGC